GCTCCAGGCTCACCATCCGCTTCTGCTCCTTGGTCCACTGTTCCTTGAACTCCTTCCGCCACTTCTCAATCTCAGTCCGCTTGGCAGCCAGGGGCTGGCAAGGGTGGGGGATGGGGGTGGGATGCTGCCTCCACGTCCACCGCAGAGGCACCCGTCTCGCCCTCCCGCTCCCGCCTCCGTATCCTCTCCTGGGGTCTTCTCACCCAGACCCGCTCTCCTCCAACCTATGTCCCCCCCATAGAATCTCAGCGTTCACCCCATCCTTTCTGCTTGGGCTCAGAGTCGCCAACGCTTTCTTCCTGAGAACACCTAGGCCCTACACGCCACCCCACAAACAGGCAAAGGCATAGTGTTGCAATTGCACAGGAAGCTGGGTAACCTTGGGCAAGTTCCCCATCATCCCTGGGCCTCAGCTTCCTCTTCAGCAAAATGGGATGATGGCAGCGGTGCCTTCCTTGGGAACTGGGAGTCATGCAGGGAGGACAGCAGGGAGCCCTTGATACCATTAGGCCCCATGCCTCACCTGGGAGTAGTCCCTCTTCTGCTGGGAGACCGTTTCCATGGCTAGGGCTCCCAGGCTGAGGTCGTGCTCAAGAAACAAGGTGTAGATGTACTGCAGTGGCATGTGGCTCTGGGGGTGGGCATGGAGGGGTGTTGAGGATCTGGGGGAACAAACCTGGGCCTCTGGAGGCTTGGGTTCTTGGGGGCTCTGGCTATGGCTACCTGCTGGTGGATGGACACCTTGCCAGCCTCTGCGATCTTCATGATGCTTTTAGCAAACTCCAGCTCTGGGAGGAGAGACAGCAGGGGTCTGGGTCCCGCGGGGGTTCTGGCGTTGTCTGGGGCCAGGGGCCCGGGGCCAGGCAGGAGGGGTCCTACCGTAGCTGGCTCTCTTCTCTGTCCAGGCCAGCAGTTCCTTGGCATAGCGGCTCCAGGTCTTGGCATATTCCAGGGCAGCGTCCACACCCCCCTTGGTCCGAAGGAGCCGCAAATCCAGTTCCTCCCCTGGGGCAGATGGGTGGACCCCTGACCTCTGAACCCTTCTGTGGAAGCCTCTCCTGAGCCCCCGTGGACCCTGTCCTGCACCCTCCTGGGTCCCCAAACACCCCTTTGGGATCATGTGTCTTGGTTGCGATTTTACAGAGTGTCTACCCAGACTGGGGGATTCCGGAGGGCAGGGGCTTAGATCTGTTGTGGGCACAGCCCTGTTCCTGACACCTGCATGCCTGGCACAAAACAGGTGATCAGTGATGACTGTGGAAGGAAGGACAGATTCCTTTTTGTCTCCAGATCCTGGCCTGAAAGCCCCCTACCTGTGAGGCGTGCAGGACCCTCTGGGGAGGGGCCGCTCCAACGACTGGCTTCACTGGTCTGGGTAAGAGGGAGACAACATTCAGGAGCAAGCAGTACAAGGACCTGGCCTCCCAGAGGCCCCCTCTGCGTGCAGTCTTCCTGTTCCCTCGTTCCCCACTCACCACTGTGGCTGTGGGATCCTTGTCAGGCTCTGAATGTCCTGAGAGTACAGGGTCTCCAGCCAGCATCTCGAGGTTTCTGGGGAGTAAGGGTGTCAGGATGTCACCCTCTACCCAGTTTGTCCTATGGAGGGAAGGAAGGAGTGCTGGGGACCGGGGACCATGGGACTGTTTGGGGGCTGGTTCTGGGTATCACCTCTGTGGCGTCTCTTGTATGTGAGTGGTCTGAGGAATGGGATTTTAGGGGAATCAAGATTTCACTCTATCGACCACAGCCTCAACCTCCTGGGCTCAGTCAGCCCTTCTGCCTCAGCTTCCAGAGTAGCTGGGACTACAGGGTGCACTACCATGCCTGGATAATTTTTGTAGAGACAGGGTCTTGCTATGTTGCCCAGGCTGGTCTCAAACTTCTGGGCTCAAGCAGTTCTCTTGTCTTGGCCTCCCAAAGTGCTGGGATGACAGGCTTGAGCCACTGCGCCTGGCAGTGAGTTTTTATTTTTTATTTTTTTGAGTTGGAGTCTCA